GAGCCTGCACGCGGCTGGCGGGCAGCTGCCGCTCACTCACCTGGCCAGCAGGCGTCCCTGCCCACCTGGACCTCCTCCACGTCTTGGACATGCAGGTCCACCAGATCCTTCTCCCACGGGGGCTGCGAGGGCACCTCAGGATCTGGGGGTACAGGGGGGCTGGGCTCATCTCCCCGCCTCTCCAGTCCAGGGCTCTCTCAGCAGCCTACAGGATGCCACCGGCTACTAGGTCATGACCCCCAACACACAGCACCCCTCCAGGGCCTGCCCAGCGCGTGGAGGGCCAGGAGGCTCCTGCCAGCCCAGCCCAGGGTGTTGCTGGGAACTCAGGTTCCCGTCCTGCACTGACCCTGGGTGCCCTCATGTGTTCGTGCCCGAGAGGCCTGCCCCTGGCTTCTGACCCGCCCGGAGCCTGGCGCTCAGCACAGCCGCTGCTCCCCGGACCTCAGCTCATCTGTGTCCTGGGCGAGGCCAGGCCTCCTGGGGACGTGGGGCATGGACGGGCCTCTGAGCAGGAGCCGGGCCCAGGGGCACCATGTGCACGGGGCTTGGACATCCTCCCCGGGACTTCCACACCCGGACAACTCAGACCCTGCGGGGGAGAGGGGGCGGGGCTAGGCCCCTGGGCCCCGCCCACACCAGAGGCCCAGAATTCTGGACACCATTTTCAAAGGCTGGGGAGGGAGATGCGGTGACTCGCTTCCATCTGAGACCCAGGCATTGAGGATGCTGTTCTTTTTGCCCCTGACACCCCTCCCACAAGAAACAGTCCCAGGACACTGTCCCCAGGAACCACTGCTCACGACGTGCCACCCCCCCAACCAACGCTGCCTGAGGGTGCAGGAGCCCAACGGGGACCTGAGGGTGCAGGAGCCCAGCACACAGAAGGCTGCCTGGGTCCCGCCCGCGGGGTCGCAGTGCCCACGGGGTGGGGGTGCCCGTCATCCCTAACGACGGGGAGGGTCGCGGGCAGCCAGGTGGGTGGACACAAGGGGGGGCTGCAGCCACGAGATCGGGGTGCAGGTCCTCAACCCCCAGGTCCCTGAAGTGCCCGTAGGTCCTGCGGCTCCTCTGGGGAGGAGCAGGCTCAGCCCAAGCCTGGCTGCCACGCGGGACGCGCGG